GCAGTGACCTTTCAAGCTAGAATAAACAATAGGCCAACTTTTCACTTTCTTTACTTTTTTTTTTCTTTTTTTTCTTTCCTGGGCAGTATCTGGTGACTTACGTGTATTAGACCTACACATTAAAATAGCATTGGCTTTCAAAACAGCATTGCAGATTACCCACAGTTGCTTTTGTCGTCCTGCTCAAACGTGGTGGTGTTTGATGTCATCATATTTCTGAGCACTAAATGCTGGAACTGAACAATTCTGAGGCATCTTTCCCCCAAAAGTTCTAGTTCTTATGTTCTTGTGTTCAGGCCTTTATTTAGAATTTCGAAGGGTAAAATCTGCAAATTTAAGTTCTGTATTAGTCCTTTAAAATTAAGCATGTAAGTGGAACTGTAAGTATCATCATAGGCAGCATCTCATTCCATTTTTCTTGGGTTTGGCTCTGTTAATGTGACTGCAGTTGTCCTGCCAGGAAGCAGTTTTCTCCCTAGTGTAGCATAACATATCCCAAATCCTCTCCATTTTGTGGGAAAGGGTTATACAGTTTTAAGTGTGCTGTAGTGTAAAGCTACAGCATGAGAAACCTTTCTGAGAGTCTGATCTAGAGAGCATCTCTGCTTGGCTGAGCTTCAGGTAACTTGTCCTTCAAAGAGGCTGCTGACCTCTTTCCTTACAGGGTTTGGGGGCCCTTCAAAAATAGATGGAATAAATAGGATTTTTCTGGTCACTCTAGCAGCAAAAGCATGAGTTGCCCTTACCATGAACGAATTTGTATGAAAACAGTGCTGCTTGTGAGTTAAAATGACAGGGTCTTTAAAGTGAATTCTCAATTTGCGGTGTTGTGTCAGTAAATGCAAACATAAACAACCTAAAACAATGAATTCTAGTTTCTGGCAACCAGATGAACTGACTATTCATCTTCTGCTATCTGACAAAAACCTTACAACAGGAATAACAAGTGGTTGTTCCAATGCAACCTGATGATGCAGCATTGGAAAAGGTCTGAACACTGCTCCATTGAGCTGCGAGCTCTGTTTATGAAATGTAGTGTCCTTTGCTCTCATTCTTGTAGCCTCGTCAGATCTCTCCTCCGATTGCCTGTACACTTATGTAACGCCTGTTGTTGCTGCACTCTAATAACACTTTGAGAAGATGAGTGTGCTGTAACCTTACTGGTTTTGTCTGAAAACACCAGCACTGAAATGTTTCAGAGGCGAAATAAAATCTAATTTTCTCTTAGGGAAAGGTGCTGTTATTATCCCCTAGGATATTCTTAGCCACAGAGCTCATTTCTGTTACCAGCAGAGTAAACAAAACATTGAAAACAAGATTTTTTTTTTTTCCTCAATTGCACTGGCAAATAGGAAGTAATGTTTATAATTTTATGTTTGCTCCATGAATACATTGTTGAAGGACTCAGAAAAAAAAACAGGCCATCAGGCCGGCTGTTTTGCATTATCAGCCTGAAGGACTGGAAGAATTGGATTACTTATGTGACACTGAGGGAACACTGAGCTCTGCATGGCATTTGTCCTGAGAATTAAGGACTCGGCATGCAAATATTGCCTGCAGGCCAGCTGAAATCTGAGCTCAGTTAGAACCATAAAGGTGCCTGTAGGAAAATCGTAGTCTCCATGTTGACCTGAGCATTTATCTGCTGTGCTTTGCAGAATTGCACTAGAAATTAGAACCAAAAGCAGAACTCTCATCTTAAATTACGTTTGAACACTTGCCAGGTGATAGATTGTGCTAGGAGGCCCAGGGGCTTTTATGTGTTAGAGTTTGATGCTGCTCTTGCAGCTCGTAGGAGCCTACGAGGCTTCTCTTAGTGCAGGTGGGATAAATGGAGGTGTGTGTGACTTGTGACCTGTTGCTCTTAGTACAAGTGGGATAAATGGGAAATTGGGGGCCTGCTGCATGTGTGGGACTTGTTCATGCCCAGCCTGTGCTAGAATCCAGTCCTTGCAGGTCCACTCTCCTGCAAGGCTCAACTGCAGGTTAATCTGACTGGATGAATGCTCAAGCAGTAAATATATTAGATGTATTTAACTAATGCGAGAACAAGATCCAATCAATAGGCCACTTTATTGAAAAGGAACTAAACAGCAGCTAACTACTGTTGCCACATTTCAGTATGTATTTCAAAATGCCTACAGATTGCATTTTTTAAAATTAGCAATTAAAAAATTGACCACAGAGCAATTAACATTGTTTTATGGCCTAAACCAGAATCTCAAAGCAGCTTAGCAGTTCCCCTTCCCCCTGCATTCCCTTGCCAGTTAATTCAAGTGTGGTTGTGCAACATGTAGGCTCTGTTGGCCTCTCAGGAAGGGGAAACAGCCTGAGATAACTGACCAGTTGACCAGTGTTGCTTTATCATTGGAGTTACTCAGGTAGGTGATCCTGTTCCTTCTGTTATGGGTTGTTAATACTGCCCTGTTTTGAACATGACTGGATAAGAAGTACTGCTCATGCAGTACTTCTGTTGCAGGGGTTGTCAGAACTATATATGAAGTTAATGTAGATATCTCTTGGCATTCTCTTCCTTAAGCATGCTAGCGTCTTGTGATTAAATAATCAAATAATTCTGAGCAGTGTTTTTTTCTTGAGGTAGAAAGTCATCTAGCTCCCGTAGGGGATTCAAATAAAAGCAAAGAGAAAGAAAGATCAAAGTTGGAGAAGCTGAAGGCAGTGTTGTTGCCAGCACTAAGTAAGATTAGCTACAGCCCTTAACTGAGTCTTGAGAACCTCCGGGGATGGAGATTGTAACCTGTAACCTGTTCCAGAGCAGCTCGGCTCTTCTGGCATGCAAACATCAAACATCAGAGCTAGGGTATTTTGGATATCTGGCTTGAACCACCCTGTAATTACTAGTTTCCAGTCTAAACAACCAATGAAACCACCCCTCAAATTGCAGCGCTTGGCATACAGCAGTCCTAGGGATTTTAGCATTTATCACTAATTTGTGAAATCTTATTTACCTGGATTTTTGGCAAGAGGCTATTAGCTATTTTATTGTGCAAAATGATACATACTGAGCACAAGCTGCTGAGCAGGCCAGTACAAGGAGGAAGAATTCTTCTCTGTGCCTTGTTTTGAAATCCTTTCCTGCTAGCATTACACTCTTTCTTCACTGTTAATGTCTAATGCAAAAAAAAAGGAAAGAATGTCTTCAAGTGGTCGCAAGTAACTGCTAAATATCGAGCATTTCATGGATCCCAACCTTCTTCATGGATCCCACCCTTCTAGTTTGAGATTGCATCGCCTAATCTGAGCAGGTAGTTGAAACCAGCTTTCAAGGTGACCCGACAGGAGCTTGTTGTGAGTCTTCTCAGAAGGACGTGCGAGTGCAAGGGAGCAGCTCTTCATCTCGCCCTTCGCCTTGATTATTGCTCAAGTACAAAAGGCTGAGGGACAGCACGTTGTGATCAGGCCAAAGGTTCATATATAAAGGGAGAAAAGCGAATGCTGAGGGAGAGAACGCTTTGTGCACAGTCTCCACGTGCTGCCCAGGAACTTCCTGGCTGGTCCAGAAAGGGCAGTGAAAGTGGCTGACTAATCTCCTCCGAGGGAGGAGAGACACATGGATCACAGCTTGGACTACCAGTAGGATGTTCCCCTGGGCTTGGAGGACCTCCGTTCCCCAGGGATGTACAGTGTAGCCATGGGAAGTTGTTAGGTCTCACGCTGCTTTGTGATGCCCTCTCCTGGTAAACTCTGTGACAGTTAAAATTTTGTGCATAATCTACCCCAAATGCTTAGCTCTGTTAACTAATCACCCATAAAACTTGCAAATCTGCTGGAAAAAAAGTTTTCAAAATTAGCAGATGAGCTTGGAAAGAGACACGACCTGTCTGTAAGGATGGAGCTGTCTTTGTGGACCATCCAGGAGGTGGGCACTGGCTCCCAGACTGCTCTCACCAGCCTCTGCACCCTTTCCTGCATGGTCTGCAGAGACTGGCAACCTGCACAGCTCATGGCATGTGGGTCACCCCTCCCTTGTGCCGCGGATAGAAAATTCTGCAAGGAACAACTGTGTTCAGAAATTCTGAAATAAGCATACCTACATCTACAGGTTTTATTTTAATGTTTTGCTCTGGTGAATGTCCTAGGAAAGCACAAATCCTCTTAAGAACATGTTAGACAACTGTCTGGTGCAGAGAGTCAAAATTGATGCTGCCTGCCTCAGTCGGACCTATTTGGACCAGGCCTGGGAGCAAGTTATCATGTCCAGCTCAGCCAGGTTTCCCCTCTGGAGCAGGCTTTTTAAATTATTATTATCATTTTTTTTTTTTTTTTTTTTTTGTGGCTAATGAGGGAACTGGGGTTGGGAGTGAAATAAAAAGCTACTCAAACACTGAGTATCTACTGTCGTGGTCTACAACCAAAGAGTAAGCTGCTTGGTTTTACTGCTTTGTTTTACCTTTTCTTTTATCTGTTTAATTTTACATTTCATGTAAACTACTTCTCATGAAAGCTACCATTTGATGGAGCTGGTTTGTAGTACTGACCACAGTGGGACACAGACTTATGACTGGGGCTTCTAGATAAAGTTATGAAAAATAGTACTTTAAAACAATATGTAATATTTTTCTTTGATGCTGTTGTAATGTAGGAAAGTGATATTTGAAGACTTGATCAGGATCCATGACCTAGGCCTAGATACTCAGTCTTCTCTTTGGCTTCTTATATCCGAGAGCCTTGTTCTTGCCTTGTTTCATTTCATTTTTGCCTTGTTTTCTCCACACTGAAATGAGAGGGTGATATCATATTGTAGTTGTTTCTGAAGAACCTGTCACTGCAGTATTTAACTACTATAGTTAATGCAATGGTGGCTGTCCTATATATCTTTAAAATGAATGCGCTGGGAGAGGTGGGGAACAATTTCAGGCTCTTGATCTGCAGACATCCAGCAAAGAAAAAGGTGGATTTTTTTTAATGAGTAACTGATGAATTATTCATTCCTGATAACAAGTTAAAAAATTAATTACAATGTTGTTTTGTCTTTTCAGTACATCAACTATGGTAACCTGGAACAGCTATTGGACAGTAACCAGCATCTGCCCTGGACAGTGAGGGTGAAATTGGCATATGACATTGCCATGGGAATCAGTTATCTTCACTATAAAGGCATTTTCCACCGGGACCTTACATCCAAGGTACCATTTATAGACTGAAAGGAGCTTTTGAATGGAGGTACTCTATTTGGTTGTTTGGTTCTTCTCTCTCCTTCCATCAAATAAGTGCTGTTATGTAAAATGTGATCTTGGGCGTTATTCTAACAACTGCATCACCAAAAATGGGATCTCGACATGATTTAAGAGTTTGGGCAAGGTGTCTGTATCATTTGTCCTTTCAAATGAAAAATGCTGAAATCTGCAGGTAAGAATATCAGGTTGTGAAAAATGCCCAGGCTTGGAGTCATGTCAGTTTGGTATGATGTGCTCAGAAAGCCTCATGTCAGTCACCTGAGAGTATAGGGGTAAGAGATGCCTAAAAATAGCTGAAAATATAACATTCCACTTTTGTTCAATTCATGATAAATTTTAGTTCATTCAAAAGACTAGGTGACACATCTAGTGCAAGGAACCAAAGTAACTAAGGGGAACTCTGTTATTGCAGTATCTATTGTAACATGTACTGTGGTGGCTAGTCATATGAAAATCCGTTTCCTGAGTCCTCTGTGAATGCCTTTGTTGAGAGCTTTGCATAATTATATGCTGTTCTTAGGAACTGTCCTACCCGTGCTTCAATGTTATCTATTGTTGAATGATCTAAGTCACTATTTAGAAAATGCACCCAGCGAGAGGAGTGTATGGTTTTAGTGCAACAACAAAGTCATCTAGGACCATGTGAAGTAGTAAGAATTGTTTTAAAAAAATAAAGGATTAACTATAAGTTGTCTTTGGATTGCTCTTAGCACTAAAGGTGATAAAGGTAAAGTGCATCTGTGGGTCACACTGAACACTGCCAGAGTGAGTTTGACATGTCAGCTATATTCTGAATAGCTGGCTGTCCGTAATTTCTAGATCCTTGATTTTTTGAGTGTTGTATGCACTCAGTACTTCTCTGTTCTTTCCCTTAAAGATGGTGTGGATGAAACCTTAAATGCCCAGATATTTGCAGGCTTTAATAGTATGCTATTTATTGGTGAAATATAACATTTTGGTGAAATAATAATTTTTAAAAAACCTTTTGGGCACATATGATGCTTTTGTGCAAATAAGAGAAGTGTCCTTCTCCTGGCTAACTTGTAAAGAAGTCAGGTTGTTCCAAGCAGCCCACTGCAAAATATCCCTCTAATAACAATTTCACTGTAAAAAATATGCTGTATGGGTTCAGACCTCATTTTCTGCCTTTCTTCCTGTTTCTGGCAAACCTCTAATTTCTGTAGTTTCCTCTAGCAGTTGACATTTTGAATGCCTGAAGTTTATTAGTTATGGCAGCAAAATAGTCTTGATCTGACAATGATGTGTCAGGTATTGGTTGCATAAAGGCAGAAAGAATAAAATGGAGTTGTAGAAACCCTTTCTCTCCCCACTCCTTCCCAAAAAAAGGGAAAAAAGAATTCTAGAAATGAAAAATACGTATTTTTTAACAATCAGTATTTGGCGGGATGATGTCCCTTCCTAGTAGCATCACATGGAGAGCAGCAGAATTGTGTTGATCCTGCAGAAGGCCAGAGGGAGGAAGGGTGGGGAGGAGGAGATGTAGGTCAGTGCAGTCAATGCGGCAGCCCCCGGGGCCTGTCAGGCCTCACGTGCTGCTTCTGCCCTGACCAAAGCTTGGGAAAGGCTGATGCTTCCCCATGTTGTGATGGGCTCAGCCGCTGGGCTGCTCTAGCTCATCTCCTGCCCAGATCAAGAGCAACAACCGCACTCGAAGCTCGGATTAGCTATTTTCTGTAGATGCATAGGCCGGGTGCCTCGTACATTTTGTAAGCCAATATGATGTCCTCACTTTTGGCTTCTCATAAAGAGATTAATGTAGAGCCTAAACCCACAGCCACAGATTATATGGCAGGACCAGGCTCCTTGGCTTGTTCCCTGTCCCCATTGCTGTCAGTGCTGTGAATGGTGTTTTCTTCTGGGCTTATTGCAAAGTGTGCAAAGGAGGATTTGGGTCTTATAATCGAGTCTTTTCTTCATGTTCCAGTGATTCTGAACTAGGTCAGGTTATGACTAAGGCTCTCAGAGTCTTAGTCAGAGAAGATGCAGTTGTTAAAACAGAAATCCTTATGCAAAATGTTGGAGATTTTTGAATAGGAGCCAGCAGACCATGATAAAGTTTTTCATAATGTGACTTGTTCTTGCAACGTTCTGTCTGTTGTTACTTGCAGTTTAAATTTTGTGTTTGGGGAAAGCAGAGAAAATAATTTTCCACTTTGTAAAAAGATTGCAAGTAAACCCTTTTGTACCTCCCCTCCAAAATAAATCTCATTACTACACAGAGCTCCTTCGTGCCTCATTTTCTGCACTGTTTTTGATTTTCTTGGGAACCTATAGCAGTGATTGCTGCAGTATTTTTATAGTTTCTCAGGGATGAAGGAGATGAGCAAATGCAGTTTTACCAACAAAGATTAAAACAAAGAATATCAGGGAGTATAAGGTTTGGGTTTTATGTCTCTGCTTGGAATATTTTGTATTTTCCACATGTTTAAGTTCAGAGCAATGTGCTCACTGACCTCAGAGGCGATTAGAAGTGTACTGCACTGATAAAATAGTCAAGCTTGACCCCTACAGGCAGAGAGAGCACAAGATTAGCAAGAGCCTCTGAAAGGTTTTGTTAAACTGGCCTCCTTGTCCCCACATCCTCCTGTGATGCTGAGGACTAAGGGCCAAAGACCTTTATCTCCAGCTCCATCTTTTGTTTGCATCTTTTCCTGGCCTTTCTTTCACCTCCTGGTTTCTGTGGCACGAGTGGCTGGAGTCTTGAAACACATGGGTGGCCAGTGGAAAGTTGGCTCTGTGATCATGTAATTAAAGACTTTGCCTTAATGCATATGCTTAAAGAGGAGAAAAAGTCTCAGAAAAAGTTTTGCCTCCCATCTTTTGAGTGCAATATTAATTTTTGATATGGACTATTCTATATGTAACTTCCTATTAAATATATATAAAAAAAGGGAATAAATAAAGCAGTGGCTTATGCAATTCATTTGGAGGGTTAGAAACTGGAGAATGATTCCAGAGGTGCTTGTTGTTTTAATTCTGTAACTAATACATGCAGTATTACTAATTAGTATTTAGTGCTGCTATCAGTAAGTAGTATTGCTCTACACATACCTTGTTTTTGTCAGGGAGCAGCAGTAGGGAGAAGAATAAGAGAGACTCCTTGGCAGTGAGAAAAGATCTGCTAGGAATCTACTCATTCTTCCAAAGCTGATCGTATCCCATGTGTGCCTATCCAGTCCTTTCTGTTTGCCCACAGTGCCAGCTGTCATTCAGGCTTTTCGTCCTTGTTCCGCAACCTTTCCTCTTCTTTTTCCATCAGGTTCTTACTCCTTCTTGCTCAGTTTCTTTGACCAACTGACTCATGCTACCGTCTTTTTGTTGCTGCTAATGGTACTTTTTCCAAACTCTCTCTCCATTGCTTTCTCCAGGATGCTTTAACAGTTTCTATAACAATTCCTATTTCTATTCTGCTGCTCCAAAATCTGTTTGTTCTCCCCACACACTTTTGCTATGCCCGCAATTATCATGTCCAAATGTACATTTGATAATTTTTTCCCCTAACCTTTTCTGTGAGCCCTTGAATTTGGGGTCTTGCTAAGCCTTAACTTGGGCTCCAGCTGTTTCCTTGCTCCTGTGGCCAGTTACTTTACTCCCTCTTTGAAATTCTCCTCCTAGCAGATATCCTGCCCTCGTCTCCTTTTTGCAGGGGTTGTAAAACGTGCATCTTAGAGAGGCCTTGTCACATTTCAAGTTGAGCCCATGTCAAATCCATGTATAAAGCCATAGGTTAGTTTCTCTTTTTTTCTTCTCATTTTTTAAAAACTTGCCTTTAAAACAGATCAAATATCCTTTTTCTAGGTTTATTCTCCAGAGCAGCTGAATTGTATTAGCTGAAACTAAAAACAAAGCAAAACCAGTATTAGGGAACACTGTAAGCTCCACTGAAGATAAAATATGAATCAACTCTAATCTCTAGGCCCGTATATGTATATATATGTGTGTGTGTGTGTTTATATTCCTGCTAACATATGCTTTCATTTCATGGTCAGTGTGCAATGGCTAATTTTTCTTTCTTTGAGAGAAGACTTGTCTCTGTGACATGGATGTCTGCCCCCACAGTAAGCAGTTTCTGTAGACTGATGGAAAACCAGTTCCCTGCTTCTGGGCTTGAAGTAAAATGCCCTTTCTTTGTACCCCGTGTGCTGTTTGCTTGTTTAAAGGAAAATAAACCCCAAGCAATGAACAGAACTTTTGTCTGCTGCGTCCCGTCCTCGCTGCTGCTGTTGTAAGGTCTCTTTGTGCTAGAGTAAGCTCCCGCCTGCAGATTTTGTAACACAGGGGAGGGCTTGCATGGCAAAAAATAGCTATTGCAGATGATTAATGGTAGTCATGTTAGTAAACTCTTACTGGTGAATGGGACCCAAATGGAGCTTGTCCCTTAAACATACTGGGTTTAGTTTTAAAAAAAAAAAAAGATCTAGTATTGTAAACTTCGGTTGTACATCTGCTTGTCAGGGGTATTTCTTTAAGGGATAACACTTTAAAAACAGCTGATAAATCCCAATTGCTCTCTAAGTATTTGAATTTGGTAAGTTATCAGAGGGATGCAAACAAGACTGCAGTTTCTTCACTTTCTCGTGTGTGATAATATCTCTGAAGAGTTTAGTTACTAGGTCATATTGAAAAATAAAAAGATGGGGTTTCTTCATCTAAGCAACTTATTTTTGACTGCAGCTCTTGAGTCTATTTTTGTCTCTGTTTATGTAAAAGGGAGAGTAGAATATTGCATTTGTCTTAGTGGGATTATGCTGTGCAAAGCAGATGTTAAGCTCCTGTAACGTACAAAGGGAGCTTTATGTTCTTTCACATCTGTCTCTGCATAAACAGCTCTGTTAACTCTTTAGGGCTTCTCTGCAGAGCTCCTTGCTGTTCTTATGAGACTGTCTCAGGAAGGACTGATGGGTCACTGCTTAGGAAGAAAAGCTTATCCAAACACTTCCATATTAAGTTGGATGTTCTCCTACGGCCCATGCTGTAGACCTGCTCAGCACCTCCTCGCAAAGGCTGTTCTTGAAGCTTTAAACTAGAAAAGAGGGGTTTGAACTCTTATGTTTCTGTGCCAAATTCCAGTAACGAAACTTCTTCATACCAAAATGACACCCATTTCTGTCTATTTCTAGAAACTAGTTAGTATTGCTTTATCAGTAATAGCAGCACAGTGTGGTTTATTGTACTCTTTTTACTAACAGCATGTCTAGCATAAATTTAAAAGCTCTTTTCAGCGTTTTAGATTGTAATGAAACTTGGCTTGTTTTCATCCGGGTTCATGTTGATAGCAGAAAGTGAGTGCAAAGAAATGTCCTTGAGGGCACATGATCTACCAGTTACCTCTGCCTGTGGGCTGTCAGGAGCCTCTTTCATGGTTTGCACCTTAACTCTGGTAACTCAACTATCTGTGCTGTGTATTTGATGCCCTGTTGCATAAGGGCTTTACCAGGGATGGAGGAGGGTGCTGGTGCTTCATATGGTCCTCTTCAGTACAGGGTGAAGCATCCCCATCTGTAAAACCTCATCTAGAATGAGCAGCGTGGGCTTGAAAGGTGACATCTAAGCACACTAGTTTAAATGGAAAGGTTTTACTTGTGATTTCACTAGGACTGGCCTTCCATCTTTTGGGGGTTCCAAGAAATTGGTCCCTAGCCACATAAATTTGCACCAGTTGAATTAAATCTTAACTAGAGTTAGCACTTGTAGTGACACTGCTATTTGGACTAGCTTGGATGTTGCCTTGGTTTAATTTGTGAATTATTGAGGAATAACCTGCTTGTGTAACAGTTCAGTGCAGCACCCGAGAGATGTGGTTGCCTGGGGCTCAGAGGGGGGATGTTTGATCATCTTGGCTTGGTGATGTACTCTTGCCAAAGGGGATGTGATTGTGTAAAGTTAAGAAGCTGAAGAAAATTTGCTGTCGTGTTTATCTCACGTTTAAGCCTTGTTTCTGTATTGAAGCAGTCCTGTAAGTCGCTGCATATCTTGGACTTGACAGAAATGTTTCTGGGGATGTTTAAATCTTAGTTTGAAGGCAGATGTTCCCCCGCAACATCTGCAAAAGCAAAGTTACAGAAGAATAACCTTAATACGCAAAAGCCAGAAGGTGAAATGAACTACTGCAGTCTTGCTACTCAGACTGAACAAAATGGACATGGACGTGGACATTTTGGACATGTTAGTGGACAAAGTTGATGCAAGAAGGAAAACTGGAGTGTATGAGCAACTCATCTATGCTTCAAAGCACTTTTTTTTAAATGTCACTCTATGCATCATCTTGTAACTGCTGAAAAATCAATGGCAGAAAATCTGAGATTCTGCTGAATAAACTAACATTGGCATTCTGGTAGTCTGTAAAGTCTCCAGTGTCCTTGTATACTTGTTTCTGTGTGGTACACAAGGAAATACCACCTCTGTTTGAATGGTTTTAGTAAGATTTTTCAGTGGTGTTTTATTCTGCTTGGATTTAAGTCCATCTTACAGTGAGCAAATGTTTAAACAGAGGCCAGCTGAATGAATGTACTCTTTGATAGAAGATAACAAAGCCCATAGCTGAGAAGCTTTACTGCTGTTTGGAGTAAACTTTGTACACATTTATGAATGTGCAAACTAGCTGTACTTATTATACTTGAGTCATGCTAAACAAATAGAACTTTGCACCTCTGGAGCCCGTCATGCATTTTCTTTACGTGAGCACAAGAAAATCTCCCTTAACCTTTTAATTGACATGAAGATACCCTGCTTTTGTGGCCTGGACCACGCTCATCTCTGAATATGTAAAACTGATGACTTGAACTTGATCCTTCAGCCAAGAGACTTCCTTTTCTTAGTAGCTGTGTTACACAAACAAGCAAATAATTTGGGGTCAATGAGAGGCTTTTGGGTGGCCAGGCACAATAAAAACAGAAAAGTGTGATTCAGCTGCAGAGCTAATGAAAGGGAAGGCACCACTTGGTACTTGCCAGCGGTGGCTCTGCTGCCTGTCACTGTCCGCAGGAGGATACAGAGGTAGGAATGAGTTTTGTCTTCCCTACCCCTGCAGGCCAGAAGAACCTAGGGAGGTCGGCGACGGATTCATTCAGAGCGAAAGCATGTGCAACTGGATCGGTCAAAGCATGTTTCTTGGGGTTGTGAATAAATAAACAAAAATAAACTAATAATGCCATGCATGTGATATGATCCTGCCAGATCTGAATCATCTGAATATGTCCTTAAGTCATCCTTCACTGTTTAAGTTGCCCTGAAACAGCAGGGAGGGCATTTGAATGGAAAAGACTGATAAATCTTTCCTCTATTAGCTACTTTGCATAAAGCATGTTTTATGATGTGCTGTAGAATAAAGAATTTGATTTGAGGCTTTAAAAAGACATTTAGAGATCCCACGTCTTGTATCTTCTAATGGTAATCTATTGCGGAGCAATGAGTTCCTTTCATTTTCAAGCAGCTAATTTAGCAAATCATACAAAGGCATTCGGAGTGTGCTCTGATTGTGTATTCTGTTCAGGCCCTGTTCAGACCATAAAAGGAAATTTCAAGGAGTCACAGTGAAGAGCATGTATTGCATATTTTAGCAGTAAGGGGGCTAAAGCATCTTAATTCTTGTTAGAACCTATCTGGCTATGGGCTGCCTGCTGGCTCAGCAAGTTTTAAAGTGGATTATTAACCAAGTCTAAGGCTGTTTGCAGCATCTGTAAGTTTGACAGGCACGTGACTGTGCAAGGGAGAAGAAAAGGGGCTGCTTTCAGACAAAAGCTTTTCATAGACAAGATGTCTTTCCAACAACATCTTATAATCTTATTCTAGATTTAAAATAAATAAAGCGATGTAGGGATTTTGTGCACAGACAATAGATCTTCTGTTTTATTTCTTTATTTTTTCCAGAACTGCTTAATAAAACATGATGAGAATGGATATTCAGCAATAGTGGGAGACTTTGGTTTGGCAGAGAAAATTCCCGATCACAGGTATGTGGACTGATCAGAGCAGTCTCTCAGAGAGAGCTGCAGCAGTGTTAGCTGAATCCCTGAGGCCACTATTGCATCCAGATAGACAAGCTGCAAAAAGCATCCTCAGTCTTCAATCTAGAGCTGTGGGCTGAATGACCAAAGTGCTCCAGCTTTAATTATGGTGCATTTTGATAGATTTAGTGGTGAGTGTTTTTTTAAAAATGCCCCAGTGATTAGAGGATTCACTCAAAGTTTTCAGTACATCCTTTGAACGGGAGATTTTTGTAAAGAGGTGTCCAGCACTCTGGATTGGGATGGTTTTATAATAAATGTCTCTTCTTTAACTGCAAACACTTTAATTAGCCCCTCCCTACCTTAATAAACAATATTCAGTGACTGTTTCCCCCCTTCTGTTTAACCTCTGCGTTAGTTGTTAAGGTTCAGGAGACCAACCAAGAGACATTAAAAATACTCTCTAAAAGTAACTCAATATTTTGCTTTCCTTGGGGTGAAATTGTGATCTTAGCTCCCTTGAGGAAGATACAGGTGACTGTCAAAAGCTTTGGTTACAACTAGAAATGGTTCTTCGTCCTTCTTCCATTAAGGAGATCAAAGACAAGGTTTCCTTGTTCTACCCCCTGTACATGGACTCGTGTATTTCAGAGTGTTCTGACTGTGAACTGTGCTCTCAAATTTTCTTCAGTGTCTGCTTCTACTTAAAATAAATAAAAGCCTCCTAGTTGTTATGGCTGCAAAGAAAATAGTAAAAATTGATCCCTGTTATTTTAAATTGGACATCTCCACAAACTACAGCTTGGGAGGTTCTGCAAGCTTGCATTTATGTTAATGAAAAGAAAGGATCCAAAAGTTTAACACTGCAAACATTCTACTTTTCAAATTATTTGCAGTGTAGTAGGAACTGCTATTGTTTGTCTTAGAGTCATGTGAAGTCTTTACCTTTTCAGGTGGTGAGAGCTTCTGTTTTACTAAGACAAAGCCATTGCAAAATCAGGAGGGCAGCAGTGTGTGTTCTTCATACTGAGTTCTGAGATGTCCTGAAACCTGAGAATGTAGCAATATTTCAAGTGAAGAGCTTAATACCACAATAAATAACAGAATGCAGTTGTTATCGTAGCTGCCCTTTTGATTTGATACAGTCTCACCTCCATTTTCAAATGCTGTCGTGGTGTTTGGGATTTACTGGCTAGGGAACCTCTTTATTTGAGGTTTTCAGTGGTTTGTCTTTAAAGATACTGTTTCCTTCGAGGTCAAATGGGGGCAACTTTGATTCATTTCTTAAGACTGTAGTTTGCAAGCATATAGGAACACTGCAGTTTTTTCAGATCACCTGTATCCTAGTTACTTCTAATTTTTCCCTATCAAAGAATTCATCTGATCAATTTAGATTTTTTTAAGATATAATTTTGCAAACCTTTCAAAGAGCTGCTGTAACTTTACCAGCCTATTTTCTTTTTGTGTAATAAGTAGAATTTTCTTAAATCTTGGCAAGATAATTGAGACTAATTCCCAACAACAGGTTGTGCTGAATGCTTTCTGTTCATAGAGCAGCTCAGAGATAGGCGTATGGGGATACTTCATTAATGGAAAATGTGCAATCTAGCTAGAAATTGATCTTGACATGAAGGAGCCTTTGCTCCTTTGTTCAGAAACCTGTGGCCTTGCACAGGGACTTAGAAACTGGAAATACAATAAATTCTTTGAAGACATAAAAGAATGTTCCAGAGACGCTAGTAGGAAATGAATATAAAGTACAGTATGTTATGATGCCTGCTTGTGTAGGCTTTCTTTTGGTCAAAGTTTCTCCAGATACTTGAATTTACAATGTTTAACACCACAACATTTCCCTAATGGTTCTTTTCTCTGTCTCCCTTCTCCCTCTCTGTGCATCTCTCACTTTGCATATATATGTGCACATCTATCTGTATGTATGTATATGCATATCTGTATGTATCTATCTATGCACGTAGTGAGAAGTTACCAGTGGTGGGTTCACCCTTCTGGATGGCACCAGAAGTTCTCAGAGATGAACCCTACAATGAAAAGGTAGGTACATGCAAGTGAACTGTAGCCGTCAGATATTTTTCTTCAGTAGCTGAATACAAGAATTAGCACCATCATAACTTGAAAATTGTCCCTAATTTAATTTGTTATGTTGTTGTACTTGGTGGCTTAAACTAAGGGAGAATGTGGGTTTAACAGCTAATAACTTTAATTTATGTTGTGGGCTCGTACAGAAATGAAAGTACCTTTAACATAAGTTGTGGTTAGGATACTCCCATTCTTAAAAAAAATGCAACATGTAGACAAACTTTACTGTATTTCTGCCTAATAGAACCCAGCCTGATCAGATCTCATAAGAAATGGCTGGGGAACTATTGTTTTTTTCTTTGTTTGTTTGCTTTTAATTAGAAGCATTACAGTTCACTAACTGTAACTTAGTGAAATCTGGATAGAAATAACTGTAACTTAGTGAAATCTGGATAGAAATAACTGTAACTTAGTGAAATCTGGATAGAAATAAGAGGTCTTTGTGTAAACTTGAAAAATTATATTAATTACAAAAGACAAATAAACAAAAAAAGGCAGTTGTTAAAGATGAAATACCTAGGTAAAAATGTTCTGCAAAGGAATTTCCAAGTTTTCCCACTTGTGGTATTGGGAAATGTTTCTTTCAGAGGGGGGACCAGATCAGACTAGATTTTGGAAACACTAAAAACACTTTTTGGACTCAAGCTCTTATTTACAAAGGATTTTCTTTGTAAAAAAAGAGAAGACATTTGTTTAAAAAAGAGAGACATTTTCTAAAACACCACCAAGTTCAGTCCTACAGGCCTGACTTTCTCTGATAAAGCCCACACGATGCACCTTTTCTTATTGCCAGCAGCTGATAATCTGCTTAATTGGTTACACTCTTAGCTACCTCAGTAATGAGTGGTGTAATTACCATTTCAAAGTTTTGTTAAGAGTTCCCGTTGACCCAAATTAATAATAAAGTACCCAAATCTATTGTGTCATGTTCTTTCCTCGCCCCAGGACACGAGGGCTAAAGAGGAAACAACTCTATCAACATGGGAGCTGGCATATAAGCTTGCCTGGTATCTGAGGGGTGAGAGGGGCAGGCTCCTGCTCTACAGGCCTGTATTCCACATCTCCCTTATTTCTCTTACTTGCTCAATTCAGATGGTGGGGCTCTGAGGAACTGGAGCTGTGCAAATCCAGGGGCATTCTCATAAATGATTACTGAGCACCATGGAAATTTCCACAGGGGTTGATGCTTGGGTGCAGTGTTACCAGATCCCAAGCTTGGAGAAAGACATCGTTTTCTCCTGACATGCTAAACAGTGAGAAGAGAAAGATGAAGTTCACAGAATCAGTGATTAAAGTTCTTAAAAACCGAACAAACAAAATGAAAACATTTTCACAGCGGCATATAGACCTGTCATATTTTGGCTCTGTTTTTAACTACCCCCATCTGTAAGACATCAAATACAACTTAACTATTCCTTATGCAGGGAAGGAATTCTGGATTTTTTTGTTTGCCCCTTTTTTGGCACTTTTGAAGTAACAATGGTTTGAATTTTTTTTTTTTATGTGAAAGTTTTAACATAGTTGTTGCTGTTTGTTCATCAGGAGCACGATACCATGAGTATGTGTTTCCTCCCACGAAAAATAAAAGTTATATGACAGTTATTTAGTGGTTCTGAGCCTGATACTGGTGGTTTAGTTGTTTCCAATAACTACTTGGGGTAAGGAGAAACTCAATGGCAGATAAGAATACTGAGTATTCAGAGCTCAACCATGCAGCTATTTATTTTTTCCCCTTTAGGCGGATGTGTTCTCTTATGGTATAATTCTGTGTGAGATTATAGCAAGAATACAAGCAGATCCAGACTATCTCCCTCGTACAGAAGTAAGTGGTTACGTTTATACGTTGGTGGGAGGTGGTAAATACACTGTGATAATGGCCTGTGGCTGTTTTGGTACATCTGCCAAAGATAATGCTGAATAGGTGTTGCTTAAAAAGAGACTGAAAAGCTGCTGTTCTTCTCTGCCACTACTGTGAGAAGCTCCATTGAAGACATTTTCATGCAAGCTCAGCCTTTGTCCAGCTAAAATGAAATGGGAAATCCTGTCTGAAGCCCCAGACCTGTCTGTAGTTGGCACAACACTGAGAGCACGGCAGCGACCTCCCTTTTGTGGAGCGAAGGCTCCCACGGGCTTGTCCCATGCCCAGCTGAGCACTTCTGGTGCACGTGCAGCACACTGTGCTCCTCCGAGCAGCTTCTCCTTGTGAAAGGGGCAGGAGCTGTGTCCAGGCTCACCCTTACTTTAGCATAGTCTATGCAAAGCATCGTGGATCTGATATAAAACTGATGGAACAAAAGGTCTGTTTCCTTCAGCTGGCTTTTGGGGCAGGATAGGGGGCTCGTCTGTAAGGTACCTTTGGTTTTCTGTATTGTAGCCTTTCCAATTGTCACTTCCTCTCCAGTGCTGAAAATGCAAAATTGCTTAGGATTTGATGTGCAGTGAATAGGAGCCTTTCTTGTGTAAATGTGTTGAAGGAACTGGATCATTTGTACTACTAATCTAGTGGTATCATCCACTGACAAGTTAACCATTTTCATTGTTAAGGTTTCATGATAACCCAGGCTTCTGGTTTCAAAGCAGGCTTTAGATCTGCACTGTGGAAGTAACCATAGTGAAACATCAGCATATAGAAAATCACTTCTAGAACCACACAGGCAAGACTTCAAGTGCAGTGAACTGCAGTTAATTCTAGGAAGAATGATGGACTTTGAAGTGAAATCATTCTCTTACAGGTATCTTAGATAATCCCTAGAGGGGATGCTGCAGTTCCCTGCATGAGGTTTTCTCAAAATCCCCTGGCTGTGGCTGCCCAGAGAGTTGGTGTTCGTGGTTATTTCTGATAACTCCGTGGCGGGAGCTGAAATGTCAATGCTTTGGCCTAGATAGCAGACCTCACTTGTATCTCTGTTCTCTGTGCCATGTTCTTGTTCGTACAGAATTTTGGATTAGATTATGATGCCTTCCAGCACATGGTGGGGGACTGTCCCCCCGACTTCCTCCAGCTGGCCTTCAACTGCTGTAACGTGAGTATCCTAACTGATGAGGAAGGGTCAAAACTGCAGTTCTCTCTCTCTGTTTTTTGAGGCTTTTTAAACTTAAATTTGATTAGTTTGAAGATTGAACTTAAAGCATTTAGAGAGGAAACTGAAGTGCTAACCTGTAAAAGCAGCCATACATTCTCCTAACCCAGGAAGTCCCTTGTAGCTTTTTATCTCCTGTCCTCTGCAAAAAGGCCAGTCTTCTACTTCTGCAGTTCCCTATTCTGGCGTGCCAAGCAAATGACCCTGGCACACTGAACAGCTCCTTGCAGGCTGCTCGGGCTGATTGTAACCGGTTGCTGGCTGTTGATGCTGCTGGCCCTGGGGCGGACAGAAACCAGCAGTCATTGTGTGCAGACCTCCTGGGCTGTGAAGAAACAACTCTCATGTCCCTCACGTAGAGATGGGATGGAGAGCGGATGGACAAATAAAGAGAAGGCAGTAAATTGTTCTAAAGTCTATATGCTGCCCTTTGGAATGAAGGATAAACCTCTAAATCTCCAGCCTGTATTCTAAAACATGAATCAAACCTGGACCCAAAAGATTGAATATCAATAAGGCAGTGTACAGTGTGGAGTAAACTTTCTGCTAGTTTTTGACTAAAGTTGTAATTGTGCTGGGTAGCTTGATAGGTCTTCTGTGGTTTGAAAATTCCCAAGATCAGTCTTGTGGGTGTTCCATAAAGGAGAGTGTGAGGCTGTTGATAAGAGTACAACTAGTTTATCTCAAATAAGAGAACTTGAGGTTCAGTTGACTCTGCTCAAGTTGGGAATGTCAAGGGATCTATTCTTGAGAGTGCCAGTTTGCAGACCTTAAATTGATGCTACTTCTGAAAACTTTCTTGCATGATAGTTTGTTTAATATTCTGGAGTCAGTAACAGCACCGTATCCTAGAGAATATTTGTTAGAAGTGTCAGAACAAGCTTTGGTTGGTGGCTCTGCTGATGAATTTCAGCTTTTGGTTTCCCATCAGCACTGCTGCTGAAAGAAGCAGCATCTGTTTGTACCCTTGATACGAATCTTTGCCCCTGAGCTCTCTTCAGCTTGTGTTAATACAAATGCTGGCACAGAGAAGAGTGCTGTAAAGATGAGAGTGTAAACAAGTGGGGGGAACGCAGCCCTTGACGTCAGTGCTCACAAAGAGGTGCTGAAAATATCTGTGAAACTGGGGCCTTAATGTGGATGAGCCTCTCTGCTCCTCTGGTTTCACCTTAGTTCAGTGGAGCTCACTTCATCAAGGCACTGATGGGGCTGACGAGTGTTTATGAAATGTTTTCACTGTGAAATTCCTAGATGTTTGGCTAGAGCTTGAGTTTGATGTGGGAACCCTCAGCTCCCAGCCATAGTCCCCAGAAATCCCACTGCATCCAAACACATGGCAGGCCCATGATTAAAACCATTTTTTTTTCAGCACAAGTGAAAATCAGTGTAAAACTTTACCAGTAAGGAAAGGGGAAGTGACTTATTTTATATCCTTACATAAGAATTTGCTGTGCGGAAAGAGAAAAGGGACTTCTTCCTCCTGGTTATCATCAAATGCCCCCTTCTGCATAGTAAATGTCCCTTCCCTGAGTTTTGGTGGGAGCCTGGTTATGCCTCGAAGAAACTGGAAGCAACTGTCTTCCTAATTGAGCCATTAATATGCTGGCTGCAATGTGGAATAGCCCCTGTGCTTTGGTGTTGCCCCTGCCTACCTTTCCAGAGGGACAGAGAAAGCAGAAAAAGATGTTTTCCTGTGCCGGGAAATTCCAGCTGCTGCATTACAGCACATTTCTCGCTGCTTTGTGCACATCAAAGCAGCATGTTCTATTTATTTCATTACTAACGTATGAATTTTTAGCCCTTACACGGTGTTAGAAGTGTTTTTGGAATTGCCCCTCATACCGGTGCTCCTCACCTACTTTCATGTCCCAGACCTGCGAGGCAGTGTCGGGGGGTCTGCGGAGAGGTTGGATATTCACAAAGCACCCATGTTCCCTTTGTACTGGGGATGGGATGTGCATGGGCCTGCCCCTGGGAAAAAGCCCTCAGAAGGCTGGAATCGAGGAATCGAGTCAAGCAGAGTCTTTTTTAGTACCATAATGAAGTTAACTTTTAGCTGCCAAATTAGCTACTGATGCCTATAGAGTTAAATGTATATTTAGGGTTGTATTCAGAAATGTGTATTTAGAGCTATATTCAGAATGATGAAGTAAATGCTTTCTAAAATGCAACTTAAATTAAGCTGCTTGCTCTACAGTATGGTTTTAAGTGTCAGACTTTATTTGGAAGTCCATTTCTAATAGTGTGAGCTGAGATACATACTAATGACTGGGGGGGAGAAGTTTTCCTTAGGCAAGTAAGATACACTTTGGTACTGTGCTGCTTTGTGCAGTTACATAACCAGTCTTGTTTCCTGCCTGCTTTGGGGTAATTAACAAAACAAAGATAGAATATTTTAGACTTTGAATCTGCAGTGCCATTTATGTGGATTTTAATTAAAGCCACAAGGAGCTTATGGAAAATTAAAAGCTTTTAAAGAATGTCATAGCTAAGTTGTTCTGTTTAATTCTTTTTCTTTCAGGCAGGTTTTTGAAATTATGCTGTATATACTTTGTGGCTGATAATTGAAGCACAGCAAGAAATCCTTGAACTGAGAAAGCTTTAAAAAAATAGCAAAAACCAGTTCTCTTCCAAACCCCGAATCTGACCTCTCCCCACCTTTCCTTTTAAACTGTGGCCTCATCCTAGAATGCTGATGGTTTGATAATTAAACTTGAGAGAGAAAACCTGGGATACAACATGACTTTCCCCCATTCCTGCCACCACCCTGTCTTGAATTTCCTCAGTTCCTTCAAATTGTCCCTCTTCCTGTCAACTCTGAAGCTGGAATAGCATCGACAAACCACGTGGAATTCTGACTTATGCATCTATTCACAGATGGATCCAAAGTTGCGTCCTTCATTTGCTGATATTGTCAAAACACTGGAGGATATTTTAAACCGTTTGAGAAACGAGGAATCCGAGAGAGAGAGAAATTTTTTCAATATTGACAACAGTGAAAGAAAGCCAAAAGGTGGGTGTCTGCATTAGCACAAAGTGTTAATTGGGCATTAGCACAAAGATTAGTGCAGACTGATGGTGAGAGAGGTCGGTGTTCACATTTTGAAGGTAGAGGTTTCAAACATGTGTGTTACTGTTTGTGGTTTATGAATGAGATCCTAAGCCTGAAAAGGATTCTGGAAATGAATCTTGAATGCTTTCTCTAAAGCAGTCTAGTGCCACCTTGTGTGGGGAGCAAACTGCAGACTTTTTTTTTTATAGGTTGGGAAACATTCGGACTTGGCTATCTTCTGCATTGGTAGACTTCTCGTGTGGAAACAGTAAAATAGTTTCATATGCATATCTATAATCTTAAATTGTGCATTTCAAGCCAGTCGGTGCCATGTGCATGTTGTAGTTCTCCCCCTGCAGAGGTGCATGTGATGGAGATGCTGGTAAAAAGGAACGTGAATTCTTTTCTCTTTCCTGGTGTGCTCTCTCTGGAGCACCTCTCAGTTTGCCTCCTGCTCTGCTAGGGTTACCCTAACAGTTCTGGGAATTGTAGGGTCTTTCCTGAGTGGAATATCTAATCTAAACTGGCTGTATTTACAGGGAAAAGCAGAAATCCACATGTGCTCATTCTGCAAATGGTAGCTAAAAGGAGATGCCTCTTCTTCCTGTCACTGCTCAGCCTCAGCATTTTAGATGCACATTGAGAGCCAGTAGCAGCTGGATGATCCAGGCAGCAAATTAGCATCTTCTCCTAAACGGCTGTAGTTGTCCTTGTGCGAGGTGCTTGGGGACATCAGAAATGCACCGTTTCCTCTGCAGTTCTCATGAAGGCTCTGGGAGTGAGCAGACATGCAGGCATAAAACCTCTTCAAGCTAAGGGTGTTTCTTTTCTTCCTCTCAGGGTCAATTGAAAAAGGATCAGGAGTAAAACGATTGAGTTCCCTGGACGATAAAATCCCACCCAAGTCACCTCGCCCGCGTCGGAATATCTGGTTGTCCCGCAGCCAGTCGGATATCTTCTCCCGCAAGCCTTCCAGGAAGATAAACGTGCAGGATCCCTACTACACGCCAAGCAAGGGGTTAGGCCGGAAGGTTAATCCCTTCAATGCCAGGGAGGACCTCAAGGGGGGAAAGATCAAATTCTTCGACATGCCAAGCAAGTCCGTGATCTCCCTCGTGTTCGACCTGCATTCTCCGGAGGCGGGCGGTGGCCTCAAAGCCACCCAGTGCCAGCTCAGGCAGGCGTACAGCACGGACTGGCAGGAATTTTCCCTCCTCCCGGGCAGGAGATGCAGGTCGCTCCCGGTCTCTCCCGAGCTGCCGCATAAAGAGTACGGCCTGTTTGGGGGGCTCTCTTCGACCGTGGGCAGGTGCGACCCAGCCCAGCTGGGTGCAGAGGTTCGGCAGAAGCTCCTGAGCAGCAGCAAATACGGCGTGTCCGAGATTCCCCCCTTTCAGGCCAAGCTGCACAGGCCGGAATTGTTTCCCGTTCCGGGACAAGAGGAGGATATGGACTGTTCAGACGGGCCAGTGCCCCAGGAAGAAAATGGATTTTATCCCCTTGAGAACACGTGTGAAGACCCTGCCTGTAATCGGCCTTCAGCAGTGGGCCAGCTTGAGCCGCTGGCTTGCAAAAGGCTCCCAGCTGAGAACTCGGTGAACTTGGAGGGACTTGGCTCCCTGCAGGTGCTGGCAGGTTGTCCCCCTTCAGAAGAGATGGAGGTGGAGGAGGACCTAGAGAAGAACACGCTGCTGGAGCCTGCAAAGCCGCTGTTCAGTGTCAGCCCTCCCAGGGAGCTGAGCAGAGAGGCCCGGCCGTTGGGAGAGCGGGACGCCGACGGCGCTGCCCTCGCGTCTCTGAGCTCCCCCAGCGTCTCGGCGAGCGGCAGCACGCAGTCGGCCTGCGACATTTGAAGAGAATGCACAAATAGGACATGACCTTGGGGGACCTGTTGTTCCCGATCACTTTGACTCTGTTTTTCTGCAATGCTGGGGCTCACACGTTCGAAACAGACTCGGCAGATTGTAGAAATGAGCTGGTAAACAGAAGGCTGCAGAGCAAACAGCGTTGAGACGGATTCTTTTAACTTTATTTCATGTTGTGTTTATCCCTTTTCCCAATTTATGTTAGGAGGGAGAACTGCTCCCGCCAGAATGTCCATGTGACGCCCCGTAGTTTCTTCAGAGCAGTAGTACCCACAGCTGGGGCCTGTGTTAAGCAGGTTGACCTGGATTTCGGCATCAAGGTTTTAAGGCCTTAAGCTCCAGGTTGGTGAGAAAGAGGCCCTTACGTTTCCTTCCTCCTCCGACCTACCAGCTGCTCAAACCACTGCAGCTTTTGCGCTCACGTTGTGCAAGCAGTGTGCAGGAATCAGCGCGCCCTCCATTCGGGAAATGGGATAGAGATCTTCAGAGCTGTGTGGGGCGGATAGGAAGGCTTTCTGGTCCCAGAGTGGCTGTGAACGCTGCTGCTGCTGCTGCATCAAACAAGCTCTTGTTTCTAAAGCAGCAGAACCCAACCCCCTCCTGCTGGCAGCAATCTGCAGGCTCAGTCACCTGACAGGTATTTTCCGATTAACAAGAAGTATCTGTTCCCTGGTGTTGCGTTTTCCATAGGATGGAGTAAACTGATGCAGTAAACACTGCTCACTTCCTTGCCCAGCAGTCCACGCACCTCAGCCTGGCTGTGGAGGAGGAAGATTTTGCCCAGGGGGACAAGAAGGCCCAAGAGGAGCCGTGTTCTGGGCAGTGCCATTCCTGTGCTCCTTGGGAAACCATCAGTGAAACTAATGGTGCAGAAGCTCTGTGAGGAACGTGAGCACTTGTCTCCAAAGAGCTGAAGAGACCCCGCAGTCTCTTTCTGCAGAAAGCTCAACTGGCTGGAGCCAGGCCACACTTGGCCGTTGTCACTGAGCTAGAAGGGCCACGTTCAGCTCCCTGTCGGGCAGCACGTCCCGCGTCACTGAGGCCACTGCAGGAATGATGCCGGCAAAGCCGGGCCGCGATCCTCCGAGCAGGATTCAGTGGCCCATCAAACTGAAGAAAAATAATTTATCCCGCTGAAAATGTTTCCCCCATTTTTCCGACAAAGATGTTGTCTTTGATTTCTCCTATCGCTGATGACTGTGAGCATATTATTATTTTTTCTCTTCACCAGCAGGTATATGTGAAAGAAGCAGTGGCAGATGGCTGCTTGCTGGAAGCAGCATCAGAAATCCTTGCCCTGGTCTGCAGTTTTCAGCAGAACTTGTTGTATGATGGTATCTGTGCATCTTTTTGCCTTTTTTTTTTCCACTGTCATTGTTACCTTGTTTGTTCTCTCTCTTGCTTTTAATCTACGTTATCATTCCTAACTGAGGTAGGCCTTGCATGCCTGCAGAGCAGACAGGGGGTGATGCAGTCCAGAATTTTGCCCCGGGTAGCTGGTCACACTCTTGCTGCCCTCTTTTGAAGAGGGGAGATGTAAGCTGGTATGTCCTGATGGAAGCAACTATCTCTTCTTCCCTCATCTCACAGAAAGGAGGATGGAGAAAACCTCAGGTTCTTTCTTGGCTGAGATACCGAGCTTTCTGGAGGCATAGGTAACTATTTGGGGAGTTACAAGATGTGAAATAAGCCTGAACTGAGCAGTGGCTGCAAAGAGTTAAATGAGAAACCCAGTGCCCTTAAACTGCTTAGTGCAGTCTTTGCCAAATCAGGCCATTCTTTGCAGTTTTAAAGAGAAAACATCCATCCTTACCGAGACTATTTCCTTGACCCACACTGCTTGGCCTCTCTAAGGTGCTATCTGTAGAATAGTCTGTCCTGTGTATCCTGACTGCTGTGTTGGTGTCTTTGGAGCGCAGAGCAGCTTGGATGGCAGCTGCTGAGTGCATGTGATGTTCCTAAGGACAAGAAACCAGCCAGAAGAACTCAAAAACCAGCTACTTGTCTGCCTGGTGCCTGCTTTTTTTTTTCTCTTGCACTTTTTTTTCCACCCCCCCCCAAATTGTAACCTTTCAGGAGGAAACCCCATCAGCACCAGCTTCTGTTGTCACGAGACACACTGAATCGTGTGACCTCGGGCACACCAGCAATAACGTTTACTTGTGATCCCTGGGCCACAGGGAAGCTGCCGAGCGTCCTCCGGCCGCACGCAGCCCCGGCAGAGCAGCCGCTTGCACCTTTGGGTGCCCTGTGCGTGTTCCAGCCCTGCGCTGGCACCTGCCTGTGGAGGCTGCTGTCCTGGAGGCTCCGAGCCCTCCGCTCGCACGCGGTCAGGCTGGAGGTGCCTCTGCGGCACCCAGCCCCGTGACCTCCCCGTCTTGGTTTCCTGCACAACTCTCTTAAAAATATTTCCCTGCCCTTAACAGGGAAAATTAATTTTCCTGCCCCTGCTCTTTAGCAGCATGGCTAAAATTTTCTTAAGAATCTACTCTTTAAGCCAAGCTGATTTGCAGAGGGCACATGTGGTGGCTTTGGTAGCTCTTCACACCTCGGTGGAGGTGTCGGAAGCGCCAGTGGAATAACGGCTCAGGCCGCTCCCGGAGCCCTGGTCTGTGTGGGAGAAGAGGCATGTGTGTAAAACTGGAGTAAAAGGCCACGTTACTGATAGCAACACGCTTGCTAAAACTGCCAGCCTCTCCACGGTGCAGCTGGCGCTCACTGTGTCTCATCCCTGAGGTCGCATAAAGCTGCATCTAGGTTGCACCTAGCAAATATTCCTAGGTTTTCTGCCCGCTCGAGGGTGCTTTTCTACTGGGGGCCATTTTCTGACAGCTGCTGATGAACATGAATGCGAACAGCGATCCATGTGGTCAGCAAACTCCTTGTTTTATAGTGATATGACAAAGTTTTATTCCGAATGGATTTTATCGTGATTTTTGACTTTCTTACAGAAGCAATCCGTGCTCTTTTAAAAGACTTCCTACACACTGCTAGGTTCCCTGAAGAGATCAAAGACGTTTTTAATTCACTTTAAATCTTCCTATGTTTAATTCATTTAAATGTCTGTTATAAGCTATTTTTTTGTTGTGGTTGCAGGTGGATAAAATGCAACTAAGAGAGTGCATGTGAATTGCTGCCCCTCAAAAGTAATGCTGCAAGACAAGGGGGTTAGTAGATTTATATTTGTTGGAGAGGTGTTGATGTATTTTGTGTAACAGAACATTGGTATTTTTGCCAGTACAACTAAAGACACTTGAATAATTCCTGTTTGCACTTAATGCTATTGTTTATATTGCATGTCACTACATTTCTATGCAAAACAAATAACTTTTTTGGGGGGAAGAGGGGCAGCCAGATATTTGATTAAGTAAGTTTAAAAGACCTTTGCAAGATGATCTATTTTCATATTTATGAAGGAGTTTTACGTCTTAATATTTTGCAGACTGTAAATAGCTCAACTTGTAATTAAAGGCTTAGGAAGAAGTTGGTAGCCTGTGTATAATAGTAAGTTAACACTGCCAGAAAAAAAAAATCTTTGCAAAACAACTTTTCTAATATTGTGGATATTTATGAATATGTAAAGAAAGCACGTCTTGTTTTTATGTTGATTGACCTTCTGACTTTTTGAGCTATAGAAATGGTGTATGTTTTATTGGAACTGCAATAAGAAGTAACCAAAGATGAATCCAGTTAAATATTTTCATAATTTTTTCTTGGTCAGGTTTTGTAAACTTTCCCAACTTGCTTTCAAAATAAAAATAAAATCAAGCACCGAGTCTTGTGACTAAGACAACAGTTTAAAAAAAGAGAAAAAGCTCATTCAAGTGCTTGCTTAAGCTATAGATGATGCTGCTAGCTTTGTTATTCTGTGCTGAATTATGAGCAAAGTGGTGTTCTAATTACCAGCAAAAAGGCTGTTCTTATTCAGTGTGTTGCTTATCTACTACATCTTACTTAGTGTTAGGCTGCTGAGTCCCTGAGACTTGAGGGCTCTTTCCTCTCTGTAGTGCTGTTGAGGAGCAGGCAGTAACTTGTGACCTGAAAGATGAATCAGCTTTGCCAGTGCTCAGCCCCCAGGGAGCTTGTCACAGCGGCCGCTCTGTTCTAGCCCTGCAAAATTTGTCTGTGTTGGGACCTGGATTAAGGTAGGACATTACCCTTTTGAAAGGGATTACCCTTTTCATTTTCTGCAAGAATGCTTGGTGTTTTTGTTTGGTTATCCTCCAAAAGGCAGCTCTCATTTGTTTACAGAATGCCCTGGGATTCAGAACACTTAAGTTTGCAGCGCTGGCTGCAGCTGGAGAATTGCACATTTCATCCTTCTCCAACCTCACCCCCTCTTCACAGCTCAGGCTGCTGCTCAGGAACAGACACCATAGGGAACACTTATGGAGAGCAATTTAATGGGCCAGAAGTTAAAAGCAGGAATAAGAAATTTGCTTCCCCCGGGCCAGTTCATGATGGGATGAAGTCAAAACCTTCAACACTTTAGGGAAGAAAAGAAGAGGAAGAGGGGAACAAGAGAGCTCTGCAAGTCTTCTAGCCCTAGTCACTGGCCCAGGCCAACTTCATCTTCTGGTTGTGAGCTTTGGAAGACTTGGAAAAGGAGCTCTTCACTATCTGCAGCGGCACCGATTTCCCACTGAGGTACAGTTTGTTGTGACACTCGGGCAGCCAGGGCCCTGCATCAGCGTCCGTGCTTGTTCCTTTCTTGAGCATCTGCACGTAGGCCATGATATAGCCCGTCATGAAGGCGTCGAAGCCGGCGCGGTGGGTTCCCCCCTGCGAGGACTCCCTGGGCTTTCCTGCAGCAGAGGCTGTTTGGGTCTCTGAGCTGCCAGGGCCCTCGGCCTTCCCTTCCACGTGGCCGCTGTGAAAGCCGTTGCCCTCGGCAGAGGGGCTCACGGAGGCTTCCAAGGGGGCAGCAGCAGTTTCGGTGCTCCCTGAATCCTCCTCCCTCTTGGCGTGTGCCCAGGTGTCCGAGGCTTCCAAGGGGGCTGCAGTTGCTTCAGTGCTCCCCGAATCCCCCTCCCTCTTGGCGTGTGCCCGGGTGTCTGAGCTAACCTCTGGTTCCATGTCTGTCTCCTCCAGGTGCCCGTCCTCAGGGCTGCCCGTGCTCCCTGCCAGCTCCATGGCAGCTGCTGGCTCACAGGGACAGCTCTGCTTGCGGGGCGGCCCCTCCTCCCCATTCCGAGCTAGCTCCAATTCCTGCCCCGAGCTTTCCTGCTCAAACTCCTTTGCAGACCCTTCTGCGTTCTTCCGACGCTTCCATTTGTGCTTCCGTTTCTTCCGCTTCTCCCAAAGCTTGTCATCCTCATCAATTATGAGGTCAATATTATGGGACTGGGGACACTTCACCCCATTTGGGCACCATCCATATGCCTGGGGAGAAAGAGAGAAGACAGTAGCCAGCAGCCTCCTGGTTGAGAGCAGCAGGAATCTGCGTGTCAGAACAGATTCCACATTTGTGGTCGTGCCTCTAACGCATCAACCAGTAGTTCACAGGCAAAACCGAAGCAGGAAGAGGCTCTGAGCAACTGAGAGCTGGAGGTTGGATGCAAGATTCCCAGAGACCCCCAAGCTCTAGTGTCCAGTGGCATTAACGAGCAACGTGGGGAAAGGCTCCTTTTTCCTCCAAAAAGGGAAACTGGGTATGATCCAAGTGGCAGCAGCAACACTGGAGAGGCTGTGGATGACACTGCTACAGACCCAGCAGCTGCGGACAGGGAAGGTTGTTGTATTGGTCATAAAGACACAGGAGAGAAAAGAGACCTTTCTTGCTTAGGGGACAAGACAAATTCAGATTTTTTGGCCCTTCCAAGACAGCAACTGGTAGGGTGACTGATACCACCCCGCTGTTCGGGCCTGTAGAGCCTCTGAATCCTGGCCTCTGCTTAATCTGTGGAACTCACTGCTTCAGAGCAGAGCTTCTTCTTTTCAGCTCTAAAGTCACCTCAGCTTTCAACATCTCCCCTCCTTGTACCACACAACAAGCAAAGGAAGTTCCCGAGCGCTTTGCTGCCACTTCCTGGTCTGGCCACACTTGGCTCTTCCCACGGAGCCAGGTAGGGAGCTGGGATTCAAGTTACTTACCGAAAATTTCTCGCAGACAGGCACCTTATTTGCCTCTGCCACGTCCTGCTTGGCCTCTTCCAGAGCGCGGTAGTCGATGTAGTGGGACATGCTGGCCGGGTAGCTGCAGAACTCGATGGAAAGGTGCTGGCTGCCGGCATCCTTCAGCTTGCAGTTCTCCCGCTTGCTGGAACACACAAGTGGGCAGTTACTGCTGGGAACTCACGGAACACAGGCCAAGACAGAGCCCCAGCGAATCTCAGCTCCTCTGCTTTCATGCTCTGGAGTCCAAGCCCCAGCAGGATAGCCTCCTGGAAGAGTATTTAGTCCAGGGATGCGGCTCTTAGACTCTTCTATATCTACATATAGACACGGACAACACTGTCACTGGTGAAGCAAGGGGAGAAGGGCAGCCGTACCTTCATTTAAAACCCTAGTGCATTTTGATAAAGTACTAGCCATAATAGTTAGCTTGAACATTTCTAGATGAGTTAAGATGGCATCTCCTGATCATACAAGTCAGTAAAATGCACTATTTTTCCCTCTGCACAAAGAGGGCATGATGTCACCTTAGAGAAGATACGAGGGACTGTAGCACTACCTGCCTCTTGGTTAGACTGAGCAGCAAGTGCAGAGCCAGGCTCTGCTCCTGGCTCACAAACTGCACAGACGTGGCTGCTTCTAACATGTAGCTAGAAGATCTCTATGAAGATACTTGTGAGGAAACCGGAGAATGGGCCAGGACCAAAGAGCAAAACCTTTGCTTGGAATGAAAGTGATGGGAGCTGCAGCTGGCCCCACGTGACAGACACCACCAGCACCGCAGAGCTGGCACATGGTGTCAGACAGTGCGGGGACACAGGGACAGCCACCCTCCACCTGCCCCAGCCTCTGCAAAACTGAACTGCAGCGAGATCAGGGCGGTCAGTGCCCATCCTGGAACGGGAAAGCATGGGAAAGCACAGCACAGAATCACCTGAAAAGCATCTTCCCCTTCCAGCAAGACAGCCCCAACACCTAAATCTCTATCCCCTCCTAAAGCTTAAATTGAGTGTTTCTTACCACTTCTTGTAAGCATACTCCAGGTAGGAGGCTACAAAGCGGGTCTCAAACTCGCAGGCATACTTGGTGTCATATATTCCTGCTGGAAACATTTCTGAGAGGTCAGCAGTGAAAGTGCCAAGGCTCTCGGGAAGGTGAGCATAAAAGCACTGGTACAGGAACACCAGGTCAATCAGGCCGTTATGGAGGACGAGGGGCTTCTTTGCTCGTATGAGTTCCAGGAAGAAGGTCCGAACGCTTTGGCTCTGGTCCTCATTCCCCTGAAAGAAAAAGGATTAATCCACCAGCCTTAGTGTCCTGACTTGCCCCCCTACCAGAAGTTCCCAGAGCTGCCTACAGCAGGATAGCGCCTTCACCGAGGCTAGTTTTGACCAGGTGGAGGGCTGGATATTTGAAACAGAAGCCACAGTGATGGAAAACCTGGACATAAAGAGCATGGAAGGGAAGGACATCCTGCAGGCTGGATCCCAGCTCCAGCCCCTCTTTACACCCCAGCCACGTGTCCTGCACAGCAGCTGTAGCAAAAAGACTCCAGGGCCAGAGGCAACTCGAGGCATCCTCCCTGTGCTCCGTCTGGAAAAGGTGCAGAACCAGCTGCGGAGCAGAAGCGGAGAGGGCTGCCGAGGAAGGATTCACAGGGAGGAAGGGGGCACATCCCTCGGGTGCCATCTCCGCGTGAGGAGGAACTTCTTCACTGTGAGGGTGCCGGAGCCCCGGAACAGGCTGCCCAGGGAGGCCGCCCTGTGCCCCCCTGCCTGAGCAGGCGCCTGGCCGAGATGACCCCCTAGCACCCCCCTACCTTGTCGTTGCCCTTGTGGTAGGGGATGCCCTGCGAGTACTGCTTGTTGAAGTCAAAGCCGTGCTGCACCAGGAAGCGCACGGACTGCGGCTCCACCACGTAGTCCTCGGTGCAGAGCAGCGTCAGGTTGTAGATCTGCGCGCGGTAGCGGGCGGCGCCGGGCTGCGGGGAGCGGGTGAGCGCGGGAGCGGCGCGGGGGCGCGGGCGGGGGCGCGCGGCACTCACCTGGAGCGGGAGCCGCTGGAAGCAGGCGAGGCCGAGCGAGAGCACGGAGCGCGAGCGCGCGGCGCCGCACACGGCGCGGTACCGCTCCTCGAGGCACCTGTGGCGGGAGCGAGCGCCGTGGGGCCTGCCCCACCGGCACCGGCACCGGGAGCACCCCCCTCCACCGGCACCGGGACCGCCCCCCC